AAGACAGGCAGGGGTAAGGGCTGGGGTTCCACACAGACCACTCAGCCCTGAGTGGCAGCAACAGGAGTTCCCGAAGTGGAAGCAATGGACCAAACTAGGTTTGCAACAAGCTGAAACCTGCAAGGGCTCCCATCAGCTGGCACAGCCTCTCAGAATGCAAATCCCTGGGCCTAAGATAAAAGGCTGGTTTTGAAAAAAATAAAATAAAACTTGCCTGACTCCTGAGGTATCAAGTAATTCATATTAAGCCCCATTTCAATGACTAACACATAATGCAGCACCGAGGCACACAGATTAAGTTTCCAGTCAAAGCTGACAGAAGCGTAAAGCGAGGAAATTAATATTTTTGAAAAAACACAGGCATTTTCCCCCCAAGAGTTTTCCACGGATTAAATTGCAGCATGCCAAATAAGGGCGAGTTTCTAGAACATAGCAGAGGTGACCAACGTGAGGAGAACTAATTCAGAGAGGAAAATCTGATGCCCTCAGGGGAAGCATTTCTGCTGGGTTGTGCTGGCGTGGTTAAAAGCATGCATTGCTCCAGAGCAAGGCTGCTCCTTGCAGCTACCTGTCACGTTAACTTCCCTTTCCCCAGGCGTCCCTCAGGGAGCGGGAACTGTTTCTAATCCCTGCTACACCATGCATACCAACCTGAAGCACTTCCTCCCATAATGTAATACCATATTTAGAGCGCATTTAAGGTGAAAGCCCAACACACAGATGACAGAAGAGTTCTGCTGGATCCTCCTACAGTTTACTATTAGAGCGTATCCCTAAATAGTATTTTTGATAACATTAGACTATAAGTTTTCAGAACAGAAACAGCCTGTAATTCCAGAGCACAGGCATTGGGAGATACAAATAATTTAATCTGTTTCACTTTGACTACAAAGGTTAAAAAATGACCTGCATGTGCTTCTTCAGGACTTGAGAACAATGAGAATTTTAAGGGTCCTCAAAAACTGTCCTGTACACTTTCGTAGCCAAGAGCCACACGTGTCTATTTAAGTTAACTGACATATCATAACATAAAATTCAGTCCCTTAGTTACACACACCACATTTCAAGCTACATGGGACTAGTGGTTACCACACTGAGCCGCAGAGACAGAAGGAATTTCCATTATTGCAGGAAGTTTTGATGAGCAACACTGCACTCTAAGACGCCTCCATCTTTTGCCCTAATGTCATCATTGGGGTTATGAAAGTAGAAAGGTTTTCCTTCATTGGACAGCTTCGGGGTGAACTCTTCGCTGTGGTTTACATGTTGTCCGAGCACCCCCATGCTCACATGGCTCAGGCCTGTCAAAACAGCCTAGATGTAATAAAGTGTATTCATTCAAAAAGGCCCGGTGCAAACACAAGATTCCTCCACATGTCAAATGGGATGTCTATCTGCCTACTTTTTTTTTTTTTTTTGGTTTTTCTCCGGTACCGGGAACCGAACTCACAACCTTGCGCTTGCCAGGCAGGCACTTTTGCCGCTGAGCTAAATCCCCAGCCCCTATCTGCCTACCTTTGTGATACCTGCAGTGGGGACATGCCAAGAAAAAGTCTGTGAGGAGGCCTGGTTAGGCACTCTCTAGAACTGATGACTGTTTCCTTGGTTTGTTTTCTCCTTGCCTTGCTCAAGAGTCAACTACACGCTATTCTGGATGAAGTGAGTTCTGGGCTGAACTCCCTAAGGACACCTGGGCAGACAGTGAAAGTTCTGGGGCTTTTTAAGAGTTCGTCCATAGATCCTTTCAAATGCAAAGAATGAAGTATTATTTTAAGAATATCATGAAGTGCTGATGAAAAATGCTAGCCCCAATATGGGATCAGAAATAAAGGAGGCCGGGGGAGACCTGATGGATGTGGAGGGTGTGCCATGGTCTCCTGCCTTCTGCTAAATGCAGAGACATAGCGTGTAAAGGGACTCTCTATCTTCGTGTTATGAACTCTTCAACTAAACAATGATTTCATTACATTATTTGTCCACTTAAAATTTCCAGTGACTCAGAATTAAGCTTTATCAGTATGGGCCAGCCTGTAAGACTCTCATAATCCTTTTATCAGAAGCCTTTTGAGCTGGTAACTCTTCTGCCATGCCCACCTCTAGCATTCCCACATCCTCCCCACATCTCCTAAGGGGACCACGAGGCCAAGGAGATCCCCAAGGTAGCCCGCCCCACCCCTAGGAGGTGTTTGGTGCCCTAACACCAGCTGTGAGGTCTATGTGATAGACTGAGAATGTCCCCTGTCCAATGGGGGTGGTCCAAAGTAGCTCACATGCTCAGTGCCTACTCAGCCACGGCTGATGGAGCTAGAAAATTGCCTCTGTGTCGCTGGGGTCACATATCCCTAACCAGGCACTTCCCTGCTTCCCTTCCCCTGTATCCTTGAAGCAAATGAAGAATGACCCTGGGGCTAATAGTAAAGTGATACTGCCTGAAGTACCTAGTCTTCCAGACCCAGGTCAACTGTTTGCTTCTTTGGAAAGGCATCCTTGCTACTCACTTCCAGCCCAACCCAAAGTGCTCTTTTTTTGGGGGGTCTTTGTTTTTAACCAAGGTGGCTTTTTTGATGTACTGTACTTATCCCATTCTGCAGGTAAGTTTTAAGAAGTAACAGAATTTTGAGTCTTCCATAGTTCTACTCTAGTATTTTTCTCATTTTTGCTATGCTGGATTTAATGTAAGTCGATGGGAGATTTTGAATCCAGTGAATGACTTTTCTCTGCTGTGGAATTTGAAGACAATATCTTGACCTTCTGGTCAAATTCTTTATTTGTAACCTATTTAGGCTAAGCTAGAGGAGTGTTTCTCAACCTGGCTTCCACACCAGAACCATCGGAGGATCTTTTAACACAGTAAAGATGCCGCAGCCTTTCCCAGGGCAATGAGTCAGGACACCTAAGGGTTTGGCTTGGGCACTGGGATTGTTTCAGAACTTCTCATATGATTTTAATGGGCAGATAGGGCTGAAAAATAAGTACAGTTTGGGAGAGAATACACTCAACGCGGAGTGGGAAACTCAACATGAAAAAGCCTAGCAGTTAGAACAGGGCAAAGACAGACTGCCTGCTGTGGGTGAGGCTTTTCAGCCTTGCTTGTGCTGGCTGCTAGAACACTGCAAGCTGCCTTATGCTCCAACCTTGTTAGAAATGTGTGCGAGTGGAGTCAAGCCCAACCTGAAGAATTTCCTTCAGTGACTCAAACTCTCATAACATTTTGGGAATGAGGCAGGAGTCATAAACATAGCTGCTCCAGGCACTCGGTTGTCATTACATAGATTCTTCCTGGAAGATCATTTTTGGATTAATTCTTAAGTATGAATTTTACAAGTTCCTATTTTTTAAAGAAACTGTTTTTTTAAATCCTTCACCAATTGCCTAGGAGACAATAGGCTTAAAGGAAGATCTGTTTGAAACATCTGAGCACCAGGTACCTTGAGGAAGCTGAGTTTCTGAAGTGCTCAGAGCCCACAAGGCAGTGTGAAAAGTCAGTTAAGGTGACCAGTGTGAGAAAGCGTGTCTCCGTTTTGATACTGCACTGGAGAAGTGAAGAAGACAAGTACCTCCTGAGGTCAGGGCTAAGAGTCACGCATGAGCGTTCCCTTCAAAATACCACGGCACTGGCTAGGCAACACAACAAGTTCAATTAAGTCAAGACAGCCCTGAAATTTAATTTCTTTTCCTACTGTGTGGTATTTTTATTCCATGAAACAGATACATCCTGAACACTATCTATATCCCAGATCTGAAATAAGGACCTAAAACATTCTGAGATATACAAAATTTGAGGGTTTTTTTTTAATACAATGGCATCTGCCTTAATAGAAATCAATATGGAAAACATTACTATTTTTGAAGAATTATATAAAAGATTTTATTCCAGAAGACCTAGTATGACACGCCTTTAAAGAAAGATCTACATATAGAAGTTACCCTAGTATCTATTACAATCTGAGCAAAATATTGTCAATTATAGTGTAAATTCCTTAATCCAGCCATTGCTTAATATAGCTCATCTCTGCTAAAGAACCTCCCCTGATAAGGAATCTCGATGACTCTCATGCCCAATGAAGTCCACTAGAAAAAGCATCCTGATCCATGAGGGTAGAAAAGAAAACAGTCCACACCATGGCCTGGGAGCTAATGATTTAGTGTACCCCTTCATCACAATTTAATACAATGACATTAGGTATGACAAACTTCTCTTTCTGTAGTACAGAAAAACTAACATTTATACCAAACAAGTTATAGGCAAGCAAGAGTAAAACTTATTTTGCTCTGCAGGCAAACAGAAGACAATTTCTGCCAATCAAGGTCATTTTTTTTATCATATCCTTTGCAAATGTAAATCCTAAAGGTAGGCTATGCTATTCCTCAAGTATATACTTTTATGTAAATGTATTTTAACTGAATATTAGATGCCGATGCTACTTGTGCTACAAAAACAATTTTGTTCTCTGCATCTCTATTCAGATAGTCTCAAAGTTGTGGAAAGGAAACCAATGTTAATACATGCTCTCTGTACCTACATGGTGAAGCAGAGCTCTTCCTTTGTAAAGGTTCCTGATTATGCTGGGCACTTTGACCTTGAGGAAGGGTGAAACCACGGGATTGTAGCAACCAGCATAGTTTTTATAAATGGTAACATTTGTCTACTGACAATGGTCATGAAGGCTCACCACACTGTTTAAAAAATAAGAAAGAAGTTACCCACCCCCAAGAAAAGAGGAAGATAAAAATGACTCATTGCATAACTAAAGCTCCAGCAAGACTGGTAGACAAAACCCTCAAAGAAGTATGACTTGAATGAGAAAACTGTCCTGCCTTCCAATTTTCAAGGCATCTGATGTCAGTCCTTCCATCATCTCTTCTAAAATTTACTACAAAAATATGAAAATACAGTGGTACCACACGTTAGTCTTAGATTTACTTATAAATTAAGCAATGAGGGTGCACAATCATTACAAATGGTGAAGTGATGAAAAAAAGGATTCAAGATACATTACACAGGTTCAGTGAATGAACGGTCCTATTACAGCTTAGGAAGATGGTCTCATCATTCTGGGCCTCCACTTCCACATCTGTAAAATGGTATAATTATACCCATCTCAGAAGGTTGTTACCAATAGTCAGTCTGATATGCAAACTAAACTGCTTTGCAAATAATAAAACATTCTACCCATATAAGGAATTATTAAAAGTTTATTATAACCAGACATAGTCAATAATTTCTTCAACATTGTCTGACTACCTTTTCTCCCCTGACCTGGTGATCTTACACTGTAAGTCTCAATGATAGTAAAATTACTCAAGTCACTTCTCTTTTCTGTTCTCCTGGCCTTAGTTTGTAAACTTTTTTTTTTTTTTGAACCGAGAATTGAACCCAGGACATCGCACTTGCCAGGCAGGCACTGTGCTGCTGAGCTACATCCTTGGCCCCTTTCCTGGCATTAGTTTAGATCTGCCTGAATCAGTAGGCAAATAGCTATTTCATGATTTTTGCTTTAATATTCATTTAACAGCTACTTTAACAATGGAAGATGCTTTATCTGTTTCCAGGATGTATTTATCAAAGGCCTAGAGCACAAAGATTCACTAAAATGAAGATGCTCTACTGTATCCTGGTCACCTCTGACAGCACGAACACAGGAACTCCAGGACAGGTTTAAACACCTCTTCCATCCAATACATTCACCATCTGCCCACTGCGATCCCTACTGCTCTTATAACTTCAAGATGCTTCAATTCAGAAAGCATAGTCCATGGTCACACTGTGTAATGCGGGAAAAGGATTTAAGAGAAGTGATCCTGGATCAGTTAAACTTTCCCAAGCTTTCCAGGGCTCTTTAAGATAAAAACTCTCAAAGATAACTTCTATGAAAGTAACTGATCATAATCAAAACAGTACACTGTATCAGAGGTCAAGTATTGTTTTTCATTTCCTTTCCCAGAACTTCTTAAACATGAAAGTTAGAAGAAAGATACGGAGAAGAACAAAATTGTTTTGACTGGCATGACTGCATAACATGACTTATAAAGACACCTATCCAGAAAGGTGTTTTTATATAAAAGAAATTGCACCTTAGAGGTGGCAAAACCAATAAGCTTGGCTCATAAAGGGTTAACGTTAATCTTGGGGACAACAGTTTTCAGGAAATGAACGCTGAACTGTAGGAGACTGGATCCCCCTCTGATACTGCCATGACACTCCAGGTATTTCATTAATAAACTACTAACAAACAATACTCAGTTTGTGGAAATGCTTTGTAAAGTGCTGAATGAATGTATGTAATGATAGAACTGACACAGATGTCCTCACCAACAACACTGAAACTATGGAAGACACATGTTTACAGCAGGTTTTAAAGGTGGCCAACACCAGTCAAATTACAAGTCTTCTGTTTCAACCATTTCTAAAAAGTGTCACAGATTGTTAAGATCTAAGAATATTAAAATTTGTATTTCTTCTCTTAGAGATACATCTGAGACCCTGCAAGTGCATGCGGAAATAATGTTAGGAGCCGGGGCAGCTCCAGCATTCCCCTGGAAAAGGTGCTTCACAGCGTTGACCCAGCCAGAAGAGAGGTGGGGACCCGTCTGGAGGCTGGGCTGGCATAAGCAGCACACAACCCTGATGCCTCCACGGGGGTGGCTTTGCAGGGAAAACCTTGAAGACTGTGGTGGAGAAGGCTGAAGGCCTTCAAGACTTTTCTTGGAGACTCATTCCTACTAAACACGCATCTAAGCAAGGCTCCACATGTATTCCCTCAGCATGTCTCATTTTAATAGCACTTTCCACAAAGCCCAGCCATGGCCACCTTCGCAAGATGGGGTACCTGCACTCCCCTCCAGCAGGCAGCAGGGTCATCAGGCGCCCTCCACTGCCTCAGGACAGCTGCAGCCACCCTGCTCCAGCCATCCCAAGGACAGCAGAGAACCTGGGGCTCATCAGGAGCAGTGGAACAGCAGCAGGGGTAAATAACTGCACTGAGTTAGAGGGCACGATTTACTCTATGACTTTGTCTGGCCTCTGTTGCTCAGATAACTTGGACCCGCTACAAAAGATTCACATATAAGAAGAGGAGTGAATCAAAGGCAACCTGTGGTATGTGGAAAAACAACAGCTCTTAACACCCCCACGTGGAGGTGCCCCCAAACTCACAGAAACTAAAGACTGCAGGTAGCCCACCTCCACTATGAAGAGTAATGGACACAAAGCAGAGCGTGCAGGAGTTCTCAGAAACCTATGGTTCTGCACCACGACACATGGCTATCAGCAATAAAGCAACTGATACCCTTGGCAGGGACATGGTAAGCAATCTGCAACAATAAATAAATAAATGAAAGTAAAACAATAACTATGGAAAACTCCATTCACATTCCTAGTCATAGACCTGCAAGCAGCTTTCGTTGCCTTTAAAAGCAAGGAATTCCCAAGAGCAACAAACACAGCACATGAAAAACCATAGAAGCATATGAACGAGCCTGTGAGGGAGGCCATGTGCAAGGGAAAGAGGGGGAAATCAACGTGAGATGATAAAGGTTCATAAAGGCAGACGCAAGAGAAGTAACATTCGGGCCAGGCACTATAAAGAAGGGAACTACTACAGGACGAGGTCAAAATGAGAAAATCGTGCGGAGTAAACGAAGAACAGTCACACGCAAGGAAACGCAAAAGCAAAATGGGTGTGTGTCTTTCCTGAGTTTCGGTCAAATACGTTTCTCAAGACAAAAGAGAATTTACAAAAATGTAGAAGGGTAAAACCACTTCCTGAAAAGTCTGGCATTAATTCCTTTACTGGATACATAGTTCATATGCAGCAGAACGCTAAATATTTTAAGAAATGCCAGGTATAATAGCTCCAGAATGAATTAAGGCCTATGCGTGTCAAGGCTGTCTGTGATTAAAAACCTAATGAGATGAACATGACTAATCCTGTGTGCTCAGTAGAGAAGCAGATCTTTGGATTCTACTGGTCATGTTCCGGGGACAGACACTGAGGAGGTGAAAGAGCCACCAAGGAGGACTTAGAAAACAGACTGACTGACAGTGACCCAGTTTCCTGACAGGCCACCGGTGTACTGTCTTCTGCTACCTTCCTGCCTCAGGCACAAACACTTATGAGAGGCTGTCAGCTACCACAGGAGACATCAAAAGACTCTCAGAAAACTAAGCACAACTGACTCTCAATGACAGAAACAGTACCTGATTGGTTTCACTAAAATCCTGGAAGACAATTTGGCTCCTCCTCCTTAGGAAGTGCTCCAGCAGTGTTAGAGCAGGGCTTCCCGGACAGTAGTTGGTGCAGAAGCACCTGGGATTTTGCTAAATTGTGGACTCCGAGGCAGTAGGTCTAGGAAGGACTCAAGATTGCGCTTCCACAAAATTCTCAGTGACGCTGATGCTGCCAGACCGTTAAGAACAGCAAGTTATTAGAACATTTTTATTTGATGCTATCAGGAGCTAACAGAAAACCACCGCCTTCAGGCTCAGAATGCTTGATGTTAAGACTTGGCTCTCAGTGGCAGAATGACATGGCTGAAAGGGTAAGGAAGTAGAACAAACAAGGTCACGTAGGTGGAGATGACAGAAAACCCAAGATAGCGGTGAAGGAAAAAAACTGGTGACTTCTTTCCTTATAAATGCAAGCAATAAGAAAGGCAACACAAATTACTATGACAGAAATTTATTCTAAAGGCCATGGGTACAGCTCAGCGGCACAAGCACCTGCCTGGCAAGCACAAGGTCCTGAGGTCAATTTCCGGTACAAAAAAACCCAAAAAAAAAAAAAAAAAAAAAAAAAAAAAAAAGAAAAAAGAAATTTATTCTAGTAATAAAAATTATAAAAATAAATGTCAGAGTCCCCAAGTTGTGTCAAGATTATTAAAAATTATTTTATAACAATATAGTTTAAGAGATTCCAGAGCCAAGGGTGGTGGTGCATGCCTGTAATCCCAGCAATAGGGAGGCTGGGGCAGGAAGATGGCTGTGAGGTCAAGGCCACCCTGAGCTATACAATGAGTTCAAGACCAGCCTGAACTATATAGTAAAACTGTGTCTCAAAAAAAAAAAAGGAAAGAGAGAGAGAGATCGATTCTAGAGACAAGCAAAGTGAATCAGTGAACAGTGTGTAATTTCACACCACTGAGAGGCTGAGGCAGGCGGGTTAAGTAAAACCCCAACCTTGGCAAGTGAAGGACCTATTGAGACTCTGTCCCAAAATAAAAAATAAAGTAAAAGACTAGAGATGTAACTCAGTGGAAAGGCTCTGGATTCATTCTCCGGCATTATTTTAAAGATAATGATCTCAATGTATTTTGAATGCAAAATATATTAGAATCAAGTATTTTCCCTTTCGCATTTTCAAAGGACAAATTATACTATATGGCCCTCCCTCCATATGATGGATATTTGAGACTAAAGGAGGAGTGTGACATGCAGTTACGAGAGTCACTCAAAGCAACAGTTAAAGGATTCCTATTTGTGCTAACAAGTGTTTGCAAACCATCCAAAAATGCAATTATGGGCCTCGGCAGCTCCTCCCACTCCTAAAACAGGGGTCTGAGAACTGTCAGTCTACAGCAACTGCTGTCTCTGCTGAGAATATTTTGAGAAAAGATGGAGATAGCTTTGAAAGGCAGCAGACACTAATTATATCCAGACAAGTTTCCTTTCTTTTCCCAAAAAACACGCAAACTCCTTTGGGTTTCACATCTAGACATGGCAAGGCATTTCACAATTTTCTTTCTTAAGAAAAAAACTTCACAGACATTTTTACAGATCCAGAGGAAGAGGAGAATGAAAACACCATAATTAACCAAAGCAAAATGATATTATCACCCAAACCAAGCAAGCTTTTTCTTTTGCCAGTAGGAGTTCCAGCCGAAGTAAACATGCTATTTAGTCAGAGTATATACTCAGACACCTGCAGCTGGACGTTTTTGAAATAAGCACAGTTCCTTTTTCTTTTTTCTTTCCTTAATTGTGTAAGTCATCTCCAACAAACTCCAAGTACGTGTTTGTGGCATTTGTCAGTTTTGACCTCTAAGACTTTTAGTAGTTTTCTATTTTGATTAGCCA